GGCAACACTGAGGGTTGCGATCCATTGCCGGACACGGAAAAAGACAAAAAAAAAAATATATATATTTTCTAAAGGACTCATTTGCTTATCTGATAGAGTGGATGCCACTTCAACACCTATTCCCCCCTATTCAAGGGAACTTCAAAAAGTTCATGGAAAAAAAAAACCTATAATANAAGATCTATACAAGGAATATTTAAAGTAAAATTACTTTTTATATTTTAAACACCGAATGTGCCTATCATTGAACTAAAAACCAATCTCTTTGTACCAGTATGCAGATTTATTTTCTGAGTCTGTTCCATGAAGAGCCTTTCCTCCTACTGGGATTTTTACCACCAAAAAATATTTTCTAAAGGACTCATTTGCTTATCTGATAGAGTGGATGCCACTTCAATACCTATTCCCCCCTATTCAAGGGAACTTCAAAAAGTTCATGGAAAAAAAAAACCTATAATACAAATCTTTCCATCAACTTTTTGAAGTACCCTTGTATAATTTGTCTAATACAACCAAGGCAATTTCTTCTTTTTTGCCAGAACTTTGCCCAATGGAGAGCTTGTGACCCAACTTAGTTTAATAAGATGTGAAGGAAAGTCACGAAAGTACTTCTGGGAAACATTCCTGTTTACTGATAGAGACCATCTCTCTTTTACTTTGGACCTCACTGTGTATAGATATAGAATCTTCAACTCTTGGTGCTGCCTTTCTATATTGCAAAGAGGCAACAGCACAGATGAATAGAAGACACATATCAAGAACTTGGATCCTTTATATAATTCTTCAGGCAGAAAATTGATTAATTCTGGAATCTACACTAACTCTGAACATCCTGTTGGATAACTCATGTATTTCTATAGTTCAAACCCATTTGAATAATTGATTTTATTATTCCCAGCTGAAAAGCATACATACAAATATACATGTTCTCAAGTATCTTTTAAATGACTCTATAAGAAGAAAAGTATGTCAGTGTAGATACTGAACTCCTAAAGAATTTAATTAAAACTATGCAGAAAAATAACCATAATTATTGCTGATTTAGAATGAAATTGGGTATGGATTAAATACAAATCTTTATTTGTATTTATTAAATACAAATCTTTATTAAGTATAAATCTTCTTCGAATATATAAGTGATTTCATTCTTAGTAAGTATTCTTAGTAAGCATTCCAAATTGGTTAATCTAATTTTTTACAGATTTTTATTTCTTTTTCCAATTAAGTTTTTTTAATAACATCTAACACTGTTTCACTGTATGGTATGAGAAATGTATTAAACTTCAACAGTTTTCCCTAAATATTTAATTTTCTTAATATCATTTCAAAATAATTCAGCAATTGGGAAAGTTTCAGACCCTCGTTCTCCCATGGAAACATCAAATAAACAACTATAGGCAGATTATAAGAACTTTACGGGAGCTCTGGAAACTGGTCAAAGACCTACAGCAACCAAGCAAATGCCCAATGAGGAAAAAGCCACATTCAAAATGGTAGAAAATGTTATGGCATTTTTACTCTCCCTTGATTCAAATCTTTTTTGGTGTGTTACTGTACAATTGAAAGGGAATGGTCCAGTTTCCAGTTCCCTCTCTAGGGAAGAAGCAGAGAGGAATTGGTTGGCAACATTCTAGCCTCGCTGTGAAGCCTGAGAGGCTGATTACTGACTGGCCTAACTTAAGAGCTCAGATAGAGAATGGTGGTAAAGCTTGGATCTCAGGAGGAAAGCCATGAAGGATGACAACATGCCTTGGTTGAACTGTCTCCTCTACTGAAGAGATAATATTTTGAATAAAAAAAAAAAAACCTTTTTCTTTACCATACCACTTTTATGTTAGGTAACAGTTAAGAACATGATAGAAAAAAATAGCATCATGATAAAAACACCCACACTTATACAAGGAAAGCCTTTATTCATTCCCCATAGATTACGTGTAAGGCGGCATTGGGAGCTGCTATCCATGAAAACTGCAGGAGGATGGCAGACCTGTGGGCACCTGGGGGTAAAAGATTATAAGAAGAGGAATACAGTAGAATATCAAAGGCCCCAGGAAGCTGAGGTGAGGCTTATTGGAATTTTAAGACATTTTAAATAGCTGGAAATAAAAAGCACACACACAAACCCAGAAAGGCCACATATTAAGAAAAGATCTGGGAAGACCCTAAGCCTTTATCCCAGATTGATCCCAGTGCTCAGAAGCCCACTAATTAGTGAAGGTATTCCACTTCAGTCTGCAAAGACTGAGAGAAGTGGGTTTTTTCTCCCCCAAATGTTCAGTCTTTTTAAAAAAAGATCACGAGGCATAAAAAGAAATAGAGATTCATGGCTCACTCAAAGAAATGAAATAAATCTCCAGAAACTCTCCCTGAAGAAACACATGCATCAGACTTACTAGAAAAGCATTTTAAACAACTTTCATAAATATAAACTTGAAAAAATGACAGAAATTTTTCCCAATTTGAGAAAAGACATTGATAAACAATTCCAAATGGCTCAAAAAACTACAAGTAAGTAGAATAAATGCAAAGAGACACACAAGACACATTATAATCAAACTGTTAAAAGCCAAAGACAAAGAGAGAATCTTGAAAGCAGAAAGAGAAAAGCAACTAATTCTGAACAAGAGATCTCTAATAAGACAATCAACAGATTTCTTAGCAGAAATCTTGAGGTTAGAAGGCAGTGGTATAATATATTTCAATGATGAAATAAAAATACTGTCAACTGCGTATTCTATATCCAGCAGAATTGTCCCTCAAAAATAAGAGAGAAATTAAAATATTCCCAGACAAACAAAAGATGAGGGAGATAAGGTCTACTTATTACCAGTAGACCTGTCCTATAGAAAATGCCAGAGAGTCCTTCAAAGCTGAAATAATAGGATTCTATACAGTAACTGGAAGCCACATGAAAGTAAAAAGTTCTCTAGTAAAGGTAAATACAAAAACCAAATATTAAAAATTATTATAATTTTGATTTGTAGTTTTATTTATTTTCTGCAGTATTTAAAATACAAATACATAAGAATAATTCTAAATCTGTGTTAATAGGTACATAATATATAAAGATGTATTTTATGACATCAATAGCATAAAGAAGGGGTGTCAGAACTGTAAGGAGTTTTTGTATATGAT